GCTGGCCTGTGACACAGTGCAGAGCCTGGTAGTTCCAGGTCCTGCCTCCCCACATCACTCCAACTACAAGGCAGTTTATCAAAACTCAGTCAGTTCAACAAGAAATCATGTTCTACGATGGTATTCGTTACAAGAGATTCAACTCCACTGTGGAAGAGTCTATAAGGAAGAACTAGTTATCATAAAATTCAGGATTCCTTCACTGGCTGAAGGTAAGGGAGTTTTTTATTATGTCCTTTTCACACAATGACAATAATGCCATGAAGTCACCACTCACCACACCACACACACACACACACACACACACACACACACACACACAGGTGTAAAAGAGCAAAACAGTTGCCACCACTTACACTCACACAGCGATGCTATCTTTACCCTGGGAAACAATTCCACACTTTGAGAACCAGAGCTAATTACAATATACTGCTAAAAATTAAGTTTCTGCATGATGCAATGATGTGTCCATTATGCTGGGGATCTTTTAAGATCTCTCTACATAACATTAAGAGAGACAGATTCACTGTGTCAGGTGCCAACACCTTGACAAAAATTTTTAAAGACATTTTAGTATATGAAAGAGTTGTCTAAATCTTAGTTTGTCTAAATACATTTCATAAATGCCTTTGACTCTTGTATTTTAGCAACTGAATAAATAATACAGAAAACCAGTTTTGACACTATATAAAAATAACTAATGGTTTTATCTGAAGACAATGGCATTTAATTTACCTATGTGAAAATTATGGTGAGCACAGACTTTAACTAGGTAATTGAATTAAATTACAGGCCATGTCTACTCCGTACAAATTACACTCTCACAAAAATAATTTCACCATTGTAAACTGACACTTACAGTAAGCATCCCAGCAGTGAACTGGCCTCTCCAAACACAGTTCATTTTCAATATGTGCCCTACAAACGCATCTAAGCCTTCAGACAGGCTGAGGCGGCTGCCACATGCGCTTCTACCCACGAGCTAAACACACTCAGGCTCGTCTGGAAAGGCAGTGGGGCTGCTCGGGACATGCTGGTGGCAGCCCTGTAGGGCAGCGGCACGAACGGTCCTGCTGAGAGCTCTCCTCAAGGACACCCTGGCCACCAGGAGAGCGGGACCACACAGCAGTACAAGAGTCAAAATGGAAAAAAATACCTAGCCACAAAGAAAAGCCTTGGTCCAACTTTGCTGAATGTTTAGAGAATATCAACTCTTCTAAAACAGAATAGTCCTGTTTCATAAGACATTCTAATAAAATTACAGACCAGTATTAGGTACAAAAGTCCTCAACAAAATGGCAACCAAATTTAGAAACATATAAAAAGCATTATAAAAGTGATGAGGTAGAAGTTGTATCATGAACAAGGATGGTTTAACATCTAGAAATTAATATATATAACACCTGTATACATAGAATAAAAGATAAAAGCATTTTAAAAAGCATTTAACAATATCTTAACATGTCAACAACAGCAACAACAAAAAAGTTCAACCAACCTGGGTAACAAAAGGGACACCACGAACTCCATGGAAGTGCCTGTAAAAGCCCTATGGCCAACGCCATACTTACTCATAAAAGAAAGAAGCCTTTCCTCGAGGGCGGGAACAAGGTAAGAAAGCCTGCAGTTTCTACTCAACCTTGCGGGAGGTGAACCAAGGCAAGTAGTAAGGAAAAGAAATAACGGACACCTACACTGGACGTACAGCTGTAGAGTGGAGCTGAATTTGTGGGTGATAAGACAATAAACATCCCAGGAAATCCACAAAAAGACTGAGAGTTAATACAGGACTTCAGTAAGTTTGCAACTTCTAGTTCAATATATACAAATATACAAAATAGACACAAAAATTGAGTACACTTATAAGAATCCAGGAAAAACTTGTATTTACAATGGCATTAAAAAAAAAACACTAAACACTTAGGAATAAATTTAACAGAAGGAGAGTCAAACTTGAGGCTGTAAGAGCTATAAGCCCTCACGGAGAAACTGAAACTGGCAAGCAGGCTGTCCCACGAGCACAGACCAGAGCTCACACGGACGCCGAGGCTCTGTAGTGCTGGGCCAAGTCCTCACTGGCTCACGGCAGAACTGCAAAGTCGGTTCTGAAGCTCCAGCTCAGAGCCCCAGTGTCCACGCTCGTTAGAGAGCTGCAGGCCCCAAGGCGCAGTGGGACTGCTGTCAAAAAAACAGCTCAGTGGAAGAGAACTGAGCATGCAGAAGTAGCTCTCTCTGACAGTCAAACTGACTTTTCATAAGGCAGACAAAATAATTCACCAGGAGAAACCGCGCTCTCAGAGACACTGAATCGCCACACACGGAAGAAGCTGGGCCCCACCTCACACATATACAAAGAGTACCTCCAAGCACAGCAAAGCACCAACCGGAAGAGCTGCAGCCACAGAGCTTGTTGGGGACAGTGAGGGTCACCCTCCATGACCACAGCAGTGGTGGTGGTTTACGCATGTTCCCACATGTTCCCGAGAGAAGCGAATGCAGCTAGCACAAAGGCACAGCATGTGTGCCCAAGTGACGCTACCCACAGGAACCGGAATGGAAGGGGTCCAAAGGCCCATCAACGCATGACGGGACTCAAAATACGTTGCTGATCTGCTCCACAGAAAATTATTCAGAAAAAAGAAATGAAGCCAGGCGTTGTGGTGCACGCCTATCACCTCAGCTCTCTGGGAGGCTGAGGCAAGAGGACGCAAGTGAGAACGCAGTATAGGGCCACTCAGCAAAACCCCACTTCCAAATGAAAGAAGAGGTGAGCAACAGTAACAAAGCCGGGTGGTGCAGACCTCCAGGGCCTAGGGCGCCAGAAGGACGACGTGCCCACGCGGGCCGGGCTGTGGCACGGGTACACCTTGGGAACTGGCCAAGTGAAAGAAGCCAATCACAAAAGGTCACTGTTGCGCAGGCAGAATGATAAAGGTACCAAGTTTCAGGCTGGCACGGTAAAACGTTCTCAAATGAGATGCTGGTCAGGGCCACCCAAACTGTGAGGAGACTACAAACCAGTAAGTTATGTACTTTCAGTGTTAGGTGAGCTACCTCTGACCAAAGAAGCTACCAAAGAGCGGCAGGAAGCAGCGAAAGAAGCTGTTTCAGGAGCCAAGAGTTAGGGAGACAGAGGTTATGTTACAGGTAGAAAAGAAAATCTGTCATGTGACCACGAAAACACCCGAGTCCATCTCTAAAGGGCATGTGAGATAATACAGGGAAGGAGGAAACCTTGTTTCATCTCTGACCTTTGCTTCAATTCTTAAAATAATGTTTTTTTGTTTTTTTTGTTTTTTTTTTTAATTAAGTAGATAATGGTTACTTTTTGTTCAATTCTTGGGGGAAAAAAAATCACAAGTTCTTGAGTACATGGCTCTTTCAGCTAAAAATGATGTGATCCATTCCAGGTCCTGGCTCTGAGAGGAGACGGGCACGCACACTACCTTCAAAGTTTAAGGTCTTGGAGCGTCTCTGCTTTGCATACTTGCATGGAAACACAACGCTGTCTCATTTTTTACAAACATGTAGCAGAGCCTGTACTACCTCAGACAAAGTTAAAGCATTGTTAAAATGCAATTTTCTTAATCCCGTCCAGATTGAGCCCGAGAAGGAGGACAGCAGCTACAGGGTCTGCAACTCCAAAGCACCCAGATTCAGGAGGGCAATGAGAAATCCCCAACCGAGTCAGAAACCTTGGTCTGGAGTCTCAGGAGACGCTTGGGCTCCATTCGCAAATTCAAACAATGTACGGAAAGATGAGGACAGAGGAAAACTGTGTAAAGTTGTACCATGATTACAAATAATAAATGTAATCAACTTCCATTTTCCATGGGTTCCGTATCTATGGATTCAATTACCCTGGGTGGAAAATATTAAAAAATAAATCCCATCTGTATTAAATCCGCACAGGCCGTTTTCCTCGTCACCATCCCCTAGACGATACAGGGTATAAGTGCGTAACGAGCACTTACACAGCGACGACGCTGCCTGAGGTGCACACTCTGGAAAGCAGTGCAGACTGGAGGGCCGGTGCGTAGGCTTCCTGGGGGCTCAGGTTAGAGGTACACACCTGGCACTTACGGCAGACGCTGACACCCACGCAGGCACAGGAGCCGGTCCCCAGACAAAGCCACGCTGGCCCCGACGCCGGTGGCTCAGGACAGTGTGGCACCCTCTATGGCGCTCACAAAATGAGACACCTCGATGGGCCTCTCAGACACATCGCTAAGCCAAACGTGAACACAGCCGAAGCCATACAAAACCCAAGTCTAGAGGAAGCTGCTACTCTTCAGTAAACATAAAATACCGTGGAATGGTAAGTGCTACTCTCTATCCGAGTGCCAGAATTGAACCCAGGCCCTTGTGCTCGTCAGGCACGCACTCTTCCACGGAGCTAGATCCCCAGCAAGTGTTGCTTTTTAAAAATCAGAGCAACTTCTAAGATGTTCCACGTAAGCTCCTCAGCCACCTGCTCTGCTGTGTTTACTGCTGTCACTCACGTCCCGAGCATACAGCAATCCAGGAGAACCCGCAGAGAATTGTGGCTCTTGCTCTCACATCACTCACACACATCCGGCTCTGAAGGGTCAGACCCTTCTGGTGCTAGATGACCGCACCGGTCTAAGTTTCCCGTGGGATGCCCCACAGCCAATCCTGCTGCCACCACCACGCGTTACCAGTTCGTGATGGAGCCAAGTCCTGGCAGCACACAGGACAAACGTTCCCCGGCTGTGCAAGGACATGCATGAGGGCTCCTGCAAGCTTGACCCAAGAAGGGCATCGTTTCTGACTAAAACTGAAAACTCACCTGACTTCGTGATGCTTCAAATACAGAACGGCACCTCTCTCAGAAGTCATGCTTCCAACTCGCAACAGGTACACAATGGCGTCTTTCCCTGTTCTGACGGTCTGGTTCAGTTTACAAGGGTTTATGCTGAAGAGCACCACTATCTAACACTTTACAGCGATCGCTTTCCAATACAGCGCACTGTACTTACGTCAACATCCTCCTGCGTGAATGTCTCCGGGTCCTCCCCCATCATGTTGGCTAAATGTCTCTTCCCTATGTTGAACTCTTCAATCTGTTTTTTAATAAAGTCTTCTGTGTATGTCTCGCGTCTGGAGGCAGGGACATTTTTCTTTGTTGTTACAACTGTGGTGTGAATTGGCCTCGATAGCTACCAGAAAATATAAAAGGAAAGAAAAGATGGCATATTAAACAGTGCTCTAAGAGGCTGTCTCTAAATTACACAGGGTCTCCACATAGTTGTTTTTTCTATTATGGTACTTGGTACACAGGAGGTCAGAACCTAAGTCTAAAAACTGCTGCCTGCTCAAAAGCTTGCTTATGAAAAGGGTACCCGACTAGAGCAGCGCCGTCACACACCGACTCCCTGGAAGGACGGGACAGACCTGCTGCTCTAGCCTCTGCTCTGGATGCTGGCTGGCCAGGCTGGCAGGCCACAGCAGTTACCGCGGAGGTGGAGTGCGAAGCCCCTCCCTCAGGAAGCAGCAAAGGCCTGCAGACAGAGCGCCCTGAGCCCGAGCACCGGGCGAGCCTTCCGCAGCGGGCTCTCACCTTGCTGGACAGAAGCACCCCAGCCTACGGCCTTCTACCTGGCCACCTTGGGTCAGGACTTGACTCCCTGGTCCTCGGTGAAGCACACAAGGTGAAGAATGATGTGACGACCAACACTGCAAAGAGCTCTTACTAATTCAGTTCAACATGCTAACTGGAAATAAACACTGTATCTTTTTTAAAACATCAGTAATTATATCACACTTGCTGCTGGAGTCATTTTTACAGTGGCATAGGAATTTCTATTTGAAACATTAATATTTCACCTTCAATAAAGGGTGTTAAAAAAAACAGAAAAAATATTTTAAATGATATTCCACTGCATTTAGTAGCTGCATTTAGCTAAAACAGACCTTTCTGGTTCTTGCTTTTGAGATCATTCCCTGCCCAGCAACTGCAAACACTGAGCCTTTAGCGCTGAGGTCCCAGTCATCTACCCGCTTCCCTTACCATGAACACAAGAACCACACTCCCCCCCACCAGCCCACTCCCTCCCCTCTGGGACTCCCTGGATATCCTCTGCAGTAATTCATCACTACAGTTACAACAGTAGACATACTTTTAAAATACATGGAAAATATTACAATATCCAATGAATGGTACAAATTACAGGGGGCCGGGAGGTGGCTCAGTGGAATAAGCACTTCCCTGGCAAGCGCAAAGGCCTGAGTTCAATTCCTGGTTCTGCCAAAAAACAAACAAAATTATAATTAAAGTGCAAATTAACATGGTGAAAACTTCCTTCCAACTCTTTTACACTCAAATCCTCATGCTGCCAGATGCAGTGGTGTGCACCTCCAGCGCTCTGAGGCTGAGGTGGCAGGGTCCCAAGTCTGCCCCCAGCGTGAACACCTCGACCTAAAGAGACCCTGTCTCAAGCAGACAAATAGATAAACAAACCAACAACAACGACAACAAAAACTCATAAACCTTTATTTTATGGTTGATTTTCCTTCAGGACAGTATATAAGCATTTCTCTTTAGCTCAGCAAGGAGGGCACGGGGGCATGCACAGACCACTCTGCTACGTCCCCTGCTCATCCCCCTTGTGCCTTGGCCACACCTGGACTTCTCACAGGGACACTGTGCTGGGCACAAGGCATGCCGACTCTGGTGCGCTGTGTGGCTCCCCACCACCCTGTGCAGGGCACAAGGCACGCAGACCCTGGTGCGCCCACCCTGTGGACAGGGGCGACACTGCTCTTTCCTCCTCCCTTCCACGGCCAGGCACCATTCGCACCAAGCCTCACCGTCACAGCACTGTTATCTCCTGTTCCTAACATTTCACAAGGCTCTTCTTTGCTTTATAACTCTCCACGTTTGCTCTGAACAAAGAGGAAGCTCGCTCCCTAAGTGAGCGACAAGTGCCTTTGTGCCTTGGAGATGGGGGCACAGGCACAAGGCTGAGCTGGAAAGTAAGCCACATGGAGAGGCAGTTCTCCCAGGCGCTCTGCCCAGAGGGATGCTGCTTATAGCGTTGGGTTTGTACATCACAGGATGGGATCTTTTTCTCAAGGTGAAAATAACCCACTCTCAATAAGTGACTCCGAGTTCAAGCAAAATCCCGAATATATTCAACTAGGTCACAGCACCCCACTCTGGGGAGAAGAAATGAACTTCTCAGTGTCTATGCTCCAATCCCAGAAGGAGGAACTTGGGGGAAAGGGGAAGAGCAAAATCTGGAGGTTGGAAATGCTGGGTTGAGGTGTCTGATGTGGTCTGCACCAGGGGTCTGAGGGGGCTACCTGTCCTGGAAGTCTCAGGATGTGACACTAGCACTCGCCAGTGATACAAGACAGGCTCTCTGCTCCATCAGGAAACAAAGTAACCTCCAAGAAGGGGGCAGGCAGAAGGCAAAGTCACTGCAGCTTCCCTGGAAAGTAGGAGGTGAGATGGTCTGCTGAGAGGAGGTGAGCCACTTGAGAGCTTCCTTCTCTATGGGCAATGACAGAAGGGGTGAAAAAAAACCTAGAAAAATTCAGTATCCATTCACACTGGATGTGAGCTACAGCACTACAGAAGAAACTCGTAGAGGATCTAGTATTTTGTCAATTATCATTTCCTTCCCGACAGATTTCCTTATAGATCTCAGTAGTATAAGTTTTGTCACAGAACTTACATCTTAGGCTCCATAGTATCTTTCAGCATTACAAAGATTCCCACTGGCATGAAATACTTTTTACCATGAATTCAATTCTGTTGAAACACTGTAATATTGAAATATCATAACCCTTTCAACCACCTAATTAAATCTGCCTGGAATAGCCTCACCCATGTTTTTCATTTAAATTTTATGACATTTTAGGGATTCAAGGGCCAGGCATGCCCTGACCACCTGCAGAGTGCGGGTGGAAGGACACAGATGTGGTCTGTGATCCGGCGAGCGCAGAGTCTAGTCTCATGTTAAAGGCCTGGTGCTCACCGCAGAGTGTGGTGCAAGTCTGCTTCAGGAAGGAGCTGGAGACCAGAGCCCCTCTGAAGAGGAACAGGCGAAGCTTCCTCTTTATTCCACCCAGGCTCCATGCCTATTGGCTGGTGCCACGCCTCAGCACTTGACCTACAATCACCAGGCAGCAGCTCTCAGAAGCCAACTTGACAAATCATAACTGACAATCACAGGGCTTTTTCTTGGACACACTGGAGTTTTTTGGAAAAAAAAAAAAAAAAAAGATGTTTTGGACACAGGGCCTCACTAAGCAGTTCGCACTCGTACTGGGGCTCCTGCTCAGCCTCCTTGGCGGTGGGACTACAAGTGTGTGCTGCCATGCCTGGTTTTGGGGCCAGTCCGGCACGCAGTACTGGAGATGGAACTTGGGTCCTTGTGCTTGCCCAGGCAGGCGTTCAGAACACTGAGCCATCGCCCCTGGTCTACAATTTCAATTTCGAATAGAAAAATCTTCTGTGTGTTTTCGCTTTTATTAATCTTATCCTTACATTTTCAGTGCGCCCAATTTTGTTTCTATTGCTAGACAGAATTCTTAAAAACTTTGTCCTTCAGGCCTAGTTTGGGCAAGGTATAGCCTGCTCTTGGGTACAGCCTGCTCGTGTCTTACTAGCTGCTTCAGAATAAAATGTTTAAATGCAGTTCTCCTGTCAACTCTTGAAACAAAACCACAGCCACTGAACTCTCGCGGGCTCGCCAGCGGAGCCCACCCTCCGGCGTCTCGTGCTCTGACTTCCTGTCTCCTTTCTGCACTGCGCACCGCGGCCTGCCATTCTACGGCTTTCCCCTCTTTCTGCAGGGTCCTTTCTGCCTTCCACAGCCACTGCGAATTTTCAACTTTCTGCATCTTCAAAGCTGAAGCTCCAACAGTTCCACTTTTTGTTCTTTAAATCTCATCTTTTGGCCTTACCCCACCTGGAAAGTTGAAGACTGTCCACATCAGTGTGAACCAGCTGTGGTAAAACACGGAGGCCCCTTCACCCAGAGACCCTTCAAGATCCCTGGCAGAAGCCTGAAAGCAGAGGTATCACCAAGCCCTGCATATGCGGTTTCTCCCATTGTACACACCTACAACAAAGCTACACAGCAAGCACTGGGCGAGCAATAACAACAATAATAAACAGAACAATTACAACTACAACACTACAGTTAAAATATGTAGATGGGTCCTCTTGAAAGAGACAAGACAAACGTGTCTGGACCCAGCTGGCAAGAGATAACTGAAACTAGAGAGATAAACACCGGGGTAAAGGGGGCCTAATGCAATCTTCCATTTGGTTGAATAATTTTCTTCATCTATCTTTTCCATAACTGTCTTTTCATCTTTGGCTTCTATGTTTTAGTACTTTCTTATGAAAAAGCGTCAATACTGACTTCCAAGTTTTGTTCTTCAATTGTAAAATATCACATCTATCTGTGTTCTCCAGGCTTTGTGACCTTTGTGGGCAGCTTTCTTAGTGTTAACATAGTGAAGTTTACACATATTTAGAGAAATTCTATTGTTCACTTAGAAAGTCCTTGAAAAACATGTCCCTAATTTGAGACAAGTTCTTTGGAATCTTTTCAAAAACATATCTACATAATCCTCAAGAATATGATATCCCAGAAATTCACAATATTTATTAAATTTACGAAGTGAATGTATCTGTCAAAGTTATAAATTATTCCAGCAAGGAACTCATACAAAACTATTTACATTCACAGAAGTCCACCGCGTGGCTAGTACAGTCCATTACATAACACGAGGCAGACGGTACGCAAAGCACAGCTCCTCAGCAAAACCACTAAGACTTCCTGGAGAGAAATGCTTTACAACTGTTAAGAACAATTCCCAACAAAATTTTCTACAGATTTCACTTCCCACCGAGAAGCTCTGCGAGCTACTGCTCGCCAGACTCTGTGTTTACAGAACAGTGCAGACACAACCTGACAGATTTGTTTCCTTCTGATGACAAGCAGAGGGTCACCCGAGTATGCAGACTGCCAAAGAAGCAGACATATCCTGCCAGCAATGCTGCCCAAACTGGCCACATGCCAGGGCTGACTCTACTTTAATGGTATTACTGGAGTACGAAGGAGTTTCTTTTTAGTTTAGTTGGATAAAAATGGACCAAAGAACATGCTGCTAATATGACTAGGAAAGAAAGACAAACTACAATGAAGAATTTTTTAGGAGGACAGACTGCAGTCAGATTAGAGAAAGTACACAGGAAGTGTAACACAGGGACCCCAGACGGTGGCTGTGGTGACCTTGCTGAGCTGGCTCACACGACAGGCAGCGCCCCTGTGCTTCACCTGCGTTCTTTGGAGGCTGTGTTAGGGCCCCCAGGAGGACACCTGAAAGTGGGCCTGGGACACAGCTCCAGCAGCTGAGGAGCCAGAACGTAGGGGCCCAAGCAGGCGCAGTGCAGGCAGAATGCTGTCCAGGTTAGATGCACTGTACCTATGGCATCCTCAAGAGCCACACTCAGTGCGGGCTATCTGGGTGAGGTACCCAAGTTACAGCTCTTGTGAATATTTGACAGTAAAGAATGAATTCCTCTGGAGAAGACCAGGGGGCTGTCATGAGGGAAGATGGATGCTAGGTTAAACAAACTAGGAAGCTCACTTAATGCTGAAAAGTCACCGTTTACAGTCACCTGAAAACTTAGAAGACACTCATCAATTATAGAATGAGTGGACTTCTTGAAACATGGCTGAAATGAACCAAGTATCAAAGGTGAATTGTTTGGACAAGCAGGGAAATTTGAACTCGGAATGGGTAACAGATGATAATTCTGGGAGATGTGGTATCGGCATGGGGGCTATGTTTTTTAAATATCCGTTAGAGATGTGTATTCAAGTACAAGTAAAATACAAACGCCTTGAATTTACAAGGACCAATCTGGCAAAGACAGAAAATGACTCGCAAAGCAACTGACTTGCTGACTATCAATGCCTGCTGATAGATACACAGGATTCATTACATTCTCTTTTATATATGCTTGGTATCTTTCATGATAAAATTCTAAAAATTAAACTGCAAGTTAATTTAACATATTTGAACAATTTCTATGGGCCAGGCCCTGTAATTGCCATAATGAGTTAAGGAAACACGAAATGTAAGAGAGGTAAAGTATTCTTGAAGTTACTGATCCTACTTGGCAAAAGAATAACAGGTGTGATAGGTAAACATAGGGGGACACACATCTACACACACATACATACAAACTCTTTTTTTTTTTTTTAATTTTTTTT